ATGAATACTCCTTAGCATTTATATGGGGCTTTATCTCTACCCAGTGCTGCGCAAGCCTCATTTTATCCTGGCTTGCCCCCAGGCTTTCCCTGCTTTACAGCAGGTTGAGAAACAGCTGGGTGCGTGGATTCGCCTAAGGGCACGTACAGGGAGTCAGTGGCAGAGTTGGGAGTCGAAAGCTGGCCCCTTGACTTCTCTGTTGCCCTAATATCTACTGAGCTCCCTCTGGTCTAGAGACTCCAAAACAGACTGAGACTCTCCAAGGGGCTTGTGCTGCTAGTTCTGGTGGAGCAGAAATTCCCACCCATGGACTGCCTAAAAATGAAACTCCACCTGACTAGAAGCCCTTGGCTTTACCTGCTGGTAGATTTGTCCCTTATAGATGCAAATTAGTTACTGGTCCAGGCTTCCTTCTGCAAACCGGCAAGCAGCTAGTGCGAAAACATCTCCAATGATAGTGAAATGCACTGTGCAGCGCACATTATTTTTATGTCTTAACTTCTCGCTATTAGATCTTCCTTCCCAGGTCCCTGCCAAAGGCACGGCACACAGGCTCCGTTCAGATCTATCTTGCCAAAAGTGAAGGTCCCCCGCCTTGCCTCGGCTCCCAACAACTGCTGGAAAGGAGGAGTCATTCCCATTTAATCTGGCTGATATCCTTTTGTTCTTGTCGGTTCTTGGCTTTGCACCTGCTGGATAAACTAGTCTGGTCAGCTCGTCCTCCAAGCCCACGGCTCTCCCATTGTCCCTGCCCGGCTTGCTGGCGTTGGCTGAAGCATTGACTTATCTGGAGCAATCCTTAGCTAAACAAACATATTCATATAGCAAACTTCCTGATAACCAGGTCAACACGCCGCGTTCACCAATTATTGCCAAGTAGCCGCAGGTCCGTCACGCCGAGCACTGCTGGAAACTCAGGTGGGTATCCCGAGCCCTCATCTATATCTCCGTGAAGCCACGGGTAACTTTTGACTTCTAACAAACTGTAGTTCAACATTTCCATCTTTTAAGGCTCTAGCAGCATCATAAGCTGGGCAAGGATGATGCATGAGATTATCCTGTAGCTCAGAGGTGCCTAATGCACTTGGAGCTTTGACACTAGTTAGCACAATTGCAGCTGCTCCTTTAAAGCCAAAAGAGATATCGGGTGCTTTGAAAAATTAGGGCCATTAGGGGAACCGGGTGCCCCTGGCTAGGGAGAAGAGTTTGGTAGCATGATGTGCCTCCTGCTTCTGCATTGTTGATTCAGATTCAGACCTGGGGCAGTAGTGACCCTGCACGGTGCCCGTGTCCTCTCTGGTTGGTGGTCTGTACACAAGTCAGTGTGGGGCTCCTGATGGAGAAGTATCTGTTACAAGACCACTCGCCCCTCCAGCTACTGGCAACACGTGTCCGTTCTCACAAAATATACCATATGGCAAAGGGCAAAAGAGGGAGAACTCCCCTTCCCTTTTCTGGGAGCCACTTCCAGCTCAGGTCTGAGGCCTCATGGAGAGACGCGTTTGCCTTGCTGCTGGCATTACTGCGTCCATCGGGTGAGTAAAAGAGATACCATCCTTCAGGACCCAGCTGGCACTATTTGCCAATGTGATGCTTGTCCAGAGCATGTCAAATCTACTGCAATTCAACAGGAGACAGCTGAGGGGAGAAATAGAGGGTGGCGTGTTCAAAGCTTCTAGGGGATGTGGGTGCAAAAGGGGCATTGAGATTAATGGAAACTGTGCATCTCACCCTCCTAGGCAGCTCCGGACATCACGGCTGCAAGAGAAGCGGGATGATTCTGGAAGCATTTAGACCATCGTCAGCCCAGGGCAAGTCAATTAATGAGGCTGAGCCTCAGTTCCCCATTTGTACCATGGGGAAATAACAGTGCCCTACTTTGCAGTGGTGGGGGAGGATGCAGACTTGAGCTGGAGAGGACATAAATCCATGTGATGATGGATTTTGAAACGTGGCTTCATTCTGCATAGGAAAGAAACTCCCAAACATGAAGTTAAAGTCAAACCAAACCTCCATTTGGGTGGATGTGTTTTGATTTGACTTTGCATTATAATTTATAATCTGACACACAATTATTTAAAAATAATTGCACAACTGAAACTGCAAACATTGATTCCAAAATGAAGGCTCTTGACATTATCAGAACTGCGGTTTGTTCCCAGTTTTCTTCTGAAGCAAAATTCCAGCTCAGCAACTTAATTTCACAGCGCGCTTTGATTCTGCCAGAGCTGCCCGTTCCGGTGGTAGATGGTGCTGCTGAAGTTTTCCTGTGCGGCTCGGTTCAGATACAGGACAGGCTGTGAGTAATTCAGTGGCCACAACCATCTGTGCCGCACAGAAATAAGCTTGGTGGGAATAACGTTGAAGCGGATCAAATGCTTTCCAAACAGGGTGAGCTTGTAACGAGGCGTCGAAGAGGAAGGAAGAAGATTTAGCCAAAAGCAAGGCCTGATTGTGCCTTGTCGATTATTATTTCAGTTTGCATCATGTAAATGATGGACAAATTGGGAACAGAACTTAACCCTCTTCTCGGCTGTCTCGGGTGTAGGATAGGTGACAAGCGTGCTGTATGGGGAGTCGATAGGGTTTTGGAATAAGGGGCATTTCACATTGCAGACAAGCCATCCCAAAAATTACATTCACATTTCAGCTCGGAGCAATCTTGAGCACAGGTATCTGCTGCCGACATGCCGCTCATTCTTCCCTTGATGGCCAAGTCCAGAGAAGCAGCAGGTGATGTTCTGTCTGATTAGGAAAGCATGGGGCTTGGCTCCTGCTGCTTTTGAAGAGCAAGTTCTATAGCCTGAACGGGAAGGTCAAAACACCCTTGGCACCTCTGAAGGTGTTTTGCAACCACTGGGTCACAACCTCTCTGCAAATGGGGGAGGAGGAGTCTCGTCATCAGGCAGGCGAGGGGGTTGCGATTGAGAAATGTTAGTGCAAAGCAAACACAGGTGCCAGGATAACTTGGGGCCGGCTGAAATCTCCCTTGTTTGTGAAGTCAAATGCAGAGGCTGGGGTTGCCTTATAGCAGCTCATCATGCTTGCATTGTTTTCATTACATAGAAAAGGGAAGAAAGGCCATGAAGATGTCTAGCTTTGAAGTGTCACCCACCCAAAAAGGTTGTGAAAGATGGTTTTAGATCATCAAGTCTGTCCGTGAGTTCTGGGGTCCTTTGTGGATGTGTGTGTGTGTGTGTTTTCGTGCCTTTTCGGAGGACCCTACGCTTTTGAGAGAGATGCACGTGTCTATCCTGCAGACTGCAGTGCAGCGTACAATAAAACGAGGTTAGCGCCGGTACTGGAAATAATCTTGGGGCTCAACAGGGACTGACTTCCCCTGCTTCTAGCTGAGTTTCATGCTGCTACTTCTACACTCCTTCCAGGACCCAAGCTGGCTCACTGAAAGCCAGCTTGTGTGTCTCTGCCCTGCACTGCGGCATAGGCATCCCGGCGTTTTAACCAAGGTCTTCTACCTAAAATAAAACGAGCGCGTGCTGTGCACAACGCTACCCTGAATACGTGGAGCTGCTCGGCTGTTAAAATCTCCCAGGTATCAAATCTCACGGATGGATATTTCCATCCTTGCTGGTTTCTTAGGAGCACCAAGTACACAGCTCTGAGAGTCCAAACGGGGGCTTTTAGTTTCACGGTGGAGATGGAGAAGATTGTGGGATCGCCCATATATATATATGTATATAAAGCTAATGTTTTTAAAGCTTTCTCAGTGTGAGAGCAAGCTAACCCGCAGTTGGGGTCTTAATCCCCAAGGCTTTGTCACCAAAGAGAGCTGAGGCAGTGAAAGCTTCATCCCATATTTGTTCCTTTCAGCTGCTTCCTATTGATTTGCAATAAAGGGGATAGGCTTTGGACAAGCGAGCCGGTGGCAAAATGACACCGTGATGAATGTTTCCTCGGCTCGGGTGCCCCGCACTGTGTGGCAGCCATAGCAGCACGTGCCACGATCCTTTCCAGTCGCAGAAGCTGAACAGGATCGGGCCAGGTCAGTATTTGACCGGGGACCTCCTAAACGCTGCAGATGATGTCAGGGACTCGGGAGGAAGAAACTCTTCCCTGTGACTCGGGATTAAACGAGCATTTCCAAGCGCAGCGTGAGCAGTGCAACATGCTGCAAAAGAGATGCACCAAAGATACAAACCCGGCCCATTTAAAATATGATTTCCCTGTGAAAGCACAGGCTGCCAGCGTCTGTACCTCCACCGAGAGGTGGAGCTGTCTTTTCCACTTGGGCGAGGCTGTCGTCTCGCTCGGATATTGCGTTGTTGTCTCCGATAGAGGCTGGCAGAGGAGGGGGCAGGAAGGAAGCGAGTCCTGCCTGGGAGTGCTGGAATCCTTGCTGGCCCCCACCGAGCCCTGTGCCGGCTCTAGGCGAGTATTACACCATGCATGATGCTCACTCCTCTCTCAGGCTCCTTTTGCATGAAGCTGGCATGTCTCTCGCTGCAGGGCTCTTTCTCCTGCCGGCAGGGCCTGTCCTGCCCCCCTTGGCATGTTCTCAGTGCCCTGCCCCAAATGGCAGGCGCCAGACCTGGACCAGCTCGGTCTCCCCAAGGCCCTGCACCCAGGTGACACCCCCTGCCTTCTGCTCCCTGCTTTCCCCCTGTACCGACGGGGCTTTTGGTTACAACATCACGCTAGGAGGTCATAACTAATGAAAAACAGGGATCCTCTGAGATGGGGCATCTATGGGGCTGGGGGGAGGTTACATGTGGACGGTGTGGCCCCCTCCTCGGAAGTCCTGCAGGCCGCGGGGCTGGCAGCACAGAGGACTATGTCTCCCAAAATGTCCAGCTTGGCTCTGGGCTCCGTTTACCTGTGCCGTGGTGCTGGTTGTGCTACCCGACGGCCGGGCAATCTGGTTGCATCAGCTAGGGCTGCTTTCTCGGGGTGATCACGTTGCATCAGCTTGGGATGCTTTCTCAGCCTGCCCAGGCCTGGCCTGACTTGTCCGTCTGTTTGCTTTGCAGAGCACCAAACTGGCTGGCTGAGAGGCAGGAGCTCGCCTTGGGACTGAGCCAGGGGCGGCCGGACCGTGCCCTGAATAGGCCTGCAGCTTTGGAAACTCCCTGTGAAGCAACCGGGAAACCAGCGCCGGCTGACTGGGGGGAAGGCAGCCTCCAAGCCTGGGCCCAGACGAGACCCCTGTGACTTCCCCGTGGCTGTGCTGCAATGATGGACCACGGGGAAGCTGCGGATGGTGGCACCCCTGTGCCCAGTGCTCTGCCAGCAGGAGAGCAGGGAGCTGTGGCTCCCAGGGGCCTGGATCCTGGGAGATGGGTGGGGTTGTACAGTAGAGGCGAGAGGACCAGAGAAGAAACGATGGATGCGCTGGGGCGGGAGCTGCTGAGCGGCATCCCCAGCACTGGCCCGTCCCAGGGGGAGACGGAGGAGTCCCCGGGCCTCCACCGGACATTGCTGCTGCTACTCCGGCTCTCCCAGAGCTGCCCCTTTGGAGAGACCCAAGAGAAGTGCTCCCAGCTGCTGCAGGCTCTCCAGGTAAGGTGGCCAGGCAGCTCTGGGCACCAGCTGAGTTGCAAGCACACGTCAGCAGCATGATTGCAGCTCTTACGAACATCACTGCACACGTACAGCCCCCTGGTTCTGCTCCTGGCATGGCCGCTACCCCGCTGGGTGTCCTTAGGCAAGTCGCTTCCTCAGTTTCCCCTCCTATACACAGCCTGCCGTGTCTGTGCAGGACAGCCTGTCTCTCCCCAGGGGTCTGTGCAGCTCGTGGCCCAGTGGAGCCCAGAGAGCCCGGGTCGGGCACCTGTACGGACGTCAGCAGTCACAACAGCTGTCGTGCTGCAGCGGGATGGTTTTGTGCAGTCCTTTGTACCAGGAAAACCCCTGGTGTCCTGCTGGAACCGGGCATCGCTCCCTGGCTCACAGGGCACAGAGCTCCCGTACCCCAGGGCAGCCCCCATACCCCGAGATCGCAGCTTGCACAGCCCTGGGACCAGCCCCAAAGTGGGTGCAGCTGGTTGCAGGGGAGCTGGGATCCTTTCTCCCCGTCCTCTTTCCATTGCTCATGGTCTTTGCACAGTGGGAAGCAAAAGATGTGGTGTTGCTTTAGGCTTTCTCAGGGAAGACAGCCCCTCCCCGCTCCCCCAGCATAGGCACTGGGCTCAGTGCGGCCCAGCATCAGCACACAGCCAGATGCACAGGGGAGCAGGGAGGCTGGCGTTGGCTGAGGACACGGGACCAACTCCCTGCTCGGCTGAGACCTTGACATGGGCCTGGTGGTGTAGGGCTGTCTCCTGCACAACCACTGACCTCTGCATGACTCCGCTTATCTGCTTGGGAAGATGAAGGGCTGATTCACCCCTGAGGCTCCAGCTGGCCAGTCCTCCGGCCGGTGGCTGCCTAAATGTCTGTGGGAAGTGGTGGAGAAATCTGCTGCCCTGGTATCAGATGCTCTTTGCCCTCCCTGGCTTTGTACTGTATCCCCCCATGGGGACACTCCCTGCAGCTGGGAGAGCCCTGTAGATGGGAGGATAGAGCCCGCCGCCTCTCCCAGAGCACTGGTGAGCTCTGAGCTGGGTGCCGTGTGCTGGGTAAGGGATGGCCTTTGGTCCCTGCATCACCAGGTTGCTCTGCAGAGCAGGTGCAGCGGCTGCTCCAGTGCTAGCTAGCAGCAAGGGGCAGGCAACAGCGGGGAAAAAAGAAACCCTCTGATGGGTCAGTCCCTTCAAGCTGGCTCACAGGCACGATGCTCAGCAGACCATCCAGGTCACAGCTCTCTGTGACCTTGCTCAGAAACCTCCTCCCCCTGTGCGAAAGGATAGCAGCATCCTTGCAGCTGAATCCAGATGAGAGGAAATAGGCAAGTGACTGGAGAAAGGAGCCCTCCAGGGTGCTTCCCGCTGCCCAGGGAGGAGTTACTGTACATTGCATGGTCAGTATGAGTGTTTTGTGCCACATCCGCTGTGCTTGGATGTGACAGCCCTCGGGGCTTGTATCTGTCGATCTACATTGGTAAAAGATGGAGGCAGCTAAATACCAGCATCGCTTATCCCCATCCCAGACAGTACATGCTGTACTGGTTTAACTGGGGAGGTTGTAGTAGTTTTAAGTAATCATCCTATTACACACTTGAAAACTTCAACACCACGGAGGTTGCTTTGAAGCAAGCCCCCGACCTCTCCTGTAATAGAAGCCAGAAAACGTAACCCCATTCCCTCCGTGTGGCTCAGCCACGTGGATTTGGCTAAAGCGCCTTCCAGAAAGGCCTCCAGTCTGGATGTCTTGAGCAGTACAGAATACACCACTTTTATTATAAGAGTGAATTGCTGTTGCTATTTAAACAAAAAAAGATCCGTGCCGTTGTTTGCACTGTAACTTTGGCAGGCAGACTGGATTCCAGAGAGCTCAGACACGAGTTGTGGCAAGCTCTTTCTGGACAGAAGCATGGCTGGTTTTCAAGCTGACGGTGTGGCTTGAATATCTGCGGGGCATTTTGTTGGGAGAAGCAGTGTGATTTCAGGAGGAATCCGCTGCGGGTGGTTTTAAGATGGAGCCGGCTCCGTTTATACAGCAGGAGCTGGACTGGAGAGCCCTCAAACGTCCCTCCTAGCCCTACTGCCCGGGTTGCTCCTGGGGCACCACGCCTCCGTGAAGGAGGCCCCTCTTCCGTTGCTCATCAGTCAAGTGACTTGCCCCAGCGAGTTGGTTGCAGAGTCAGTAGGCTATGCTGTAACCACTAGGCCATGCATCTTTCCTCGCGCTGCTGTTGGCTGGACTGGGAGGTCGCTGCGAGGGGTGGGAGGGCAGGATGGGGGCCAGGGGGTCTGGGCTGCTTGCCATGAGGGATGGTGTGACATGGGGTAGTGTCAGCTTGGAGGAGAGAGAGGCTTTGGGAGCCAGCCCGTCCAAGGGAAAAAGTGCTTTCTTCCCCACCCCTGGCAACAGCCCTGGAGGCCCAGGGGGCTGGGCAGAGATAATCAGAGAGGCCCGCTCTCGTTAGCCAGGCGGAGAAGACGAGCAGCTCGGGGGACAGGCTTCAGCCTGCCCTGCCGCCACTAGCTCCGGGCTTTGTCCGGTCTCCACGTAGGCACGAGACCCCCGCGCTCGGCCCAGGTGCTAATTACCGCAGCCTCCGAGCCCCAGCTGCTGCTCAAGCTGTCGCTCCCGGGCTCCTGACAGACAGCGGAGCTGGTCACACAAGCCTGGCGAGGCGTTTGTCCCCTGACCTGTGACCCTGTGCGGGGGCAGATAAACCCCAGAGAAGCTGCCCCAGCCTCCTGCCTTGGGCGGGGGCGAGGGTGGGGGGAGTTAGAGTGGGAGCTAATGATGGGCCTTCCTCCTGCTTGGAGGCTGGCTCGGGGTGTAGGAGGTGCTGTGTGGGGTGCCTGAAGTGCCTCTGGATTCACACTGGTGAAAGCAGGGCTGGGTCTCCCCTGCCTTGCGCCTCACAGGGACATTTACACCAGTGGAGAAATGAGTCTGCAATGGGATTTGGAAGTATCTGAAGCCCCAGGCTGGGGTGGAGGATACTTGTCGGTAGCAGGGCCACGTTGAGTTCTTGAATGATTCACACGGATCTGGACCTGATCTGGCGAATTTGACCTGGGGCACGCACACAAAAATTCCTTAAAAGAAGAGTCTGCATAGGTTTCTTTTGCCGGGAACAAGTGCGCTGATGGCACTTCACATCTCCTGGCCGGGGCACAGATGACAACAGGGGTGGGAGTTACTGCTTTGCCCAAGAGCCTTGTGTACTGGAGGATGGAGGGGATACTGAGTTAGACTTTGAGGTCCAGTCTCGTTCCCAGGGCCAGGGGCGAGCTCACAGGTCCTGACTGGGACTGGTGCAAAGTCGGGGGCAGGAGCTGGTTCCAGAATCGAATCCAAAGCCCATGGGGAGTTTGGATCCGTGGTTTGTGCTGCTGGTGCATGATAAGACCAGCCACGCTTTCCCCAGCGGCTGGGGGAATTTGTGTCTTTCCCCCGAATCACGTGCAATAAAGAAGCAAGCAGGTGAAAGGTGCTTCTGCAGTTCTGCACCCGAGCAGAGTGGATGCACAAGGGCAGGACGGGGCTCTTCTTGCACAGGAATCGGTCTAGCCACAGCCGTGCACTCACTGTGCTGTGCGCAGGGGTCTATCTGCCCCAGAGTTAATGGGGGGCGGCGGATCAGTCCCTTGGCCTCAAGCCGTGGGCTTTTTCTCTTCTCTTTGTTGCGCTCCGTGCAAGCGCAAGCTGGGCCTCTGCCAACCACATGCAGCCGTCTCCCTCCCTCTGCCCGTCCATTGGCTGCCAGGGAAGCAGGGCTCCGCGAAGGTGCAAAGACGTTTGCACTTAATTGGCAATTCTGGATTAGAGCCGGAGGAGGCTGTTGCCAGGCAAAACCCGAGCCTGTTTGTGCAGCGACTTCTGCTCGCTGGACTTTGCCATGTGGGGCTGGTGCGGCTGGAGCAGATTGTTATCGGCACTGCTGTCTGGGGCTCCCTTTTTTTTATTGAGACGAGTGTTTGTTATTCAAATCCACGGGGCTGGAGATCAGTGGGGGATGCACCGGGGTAGCGGAGAGCAGAATTTGGCGCTGCGCTGTCCCATTGATTTTTTCCAATGAAGCGGTGGCCCAAGTTTGTCTCTGGGGGAAGTGCAGCTGCTGTTTGCGGAGCCCCTTGGAAGCACTTCCAGAAATCCCTGCGCTAACCTAGGGATGAGTTGACCGTCGTCACCCAGGGCTAAAGGATCCTGGTCAGTTGATCTCTAGTAGAAGGGTCCCCGCCTGCAGGGTTGGCACCGCCGTTGGTCCCCGAGTATGATGTTCTGTCCATCCATTGCCCATTGCGGGGTCCGGGAATTTGGGAGCTCTTGCTGAATGGAGCTGGGACACACAATAGCAGGGGATGTGGTTCGGGCTGGAGCGAGGAGGATGCTGTGGGATATCGGCAGAGTGGAGAAGGATCCAATGCTGGAAAAGCAGGAGCAGCTGCCGGTTGGCGTGGAAGGGGAATTGCAGCACCCTGCTGTGTGGGACCCCACGGATGGAGTCTCAGTGCAGGTCGGGGCTGAGGCAGAGCCCTGGGGAAGGGGACAGAGGGGCTGCAGGACAGGACAGAGAGGCGTTGGCAGAGCCGGGCACGTGGTAGTGTTTTGATCGCAGTCATTCTCAAGGTCTGCTGGGAACATCGCAGTCCAGCCAGTTCAAACACACACGGCCCACCTCGAACAGCCGTGGCGTCCTTGCGTGTCTTCTCATCTGGCATCCCCGGTCCTGCGCTCTGTAATTTGAGGAGGAATAAACAAGCTCCGTTTGGGAGACCGTGCAGCAGAGAGACCCATCCAAATTCCAGACAGCCTGCCCTGGAACACCTCCCCACGTGGGTCGCCTGGGAGCAGGGGCCAGTTCAGAAATGCGGTTAATACGGGCTTGGGGAAACACCGAGGCCCTGTCAGCTAAGGAGGCTTCAGAAGATTTGCTGCTAGTCTGAGGCCAGAGACCTCATGCGGGTAAGGGGAGACGCGCTCTGCCCCGCTAGGCTCAGTCT